GAGCAAGTTCCACTCATTCCCAGCAAATCTAGACCTGTGGGCAGATGAATGCAGCTACCTATTGCACCATTTTTTGAAAATGCGGTTGTAGCAGTGATCTTGGCTGTCCTTTTTACTCAAAATGCAGTATTTTTCCTGCACCATTGTGGCCCGCTGAGGCCACTTAGACCGGAAAAGGTAAAATTGAAAGTGATATCCGTTTCTGCTCTGTGATGGGGGCTACTGCTACCTGTATATGTGAATAACATTGGTGCAAAGAGTAGTACCTCTTTTGGCAAAAATATAAATAAATAAATAAAAATCCTCAGACAGATTTTCATAAAATATTGACGTAAAAAAAACAAGTATATGCCTTTATCTTTTATTTGCTTTTTGCAGGGCTGTTGGTGCAATGCAGGAATTTCAAAGTTGAACCATTCATTTCATCACAGGTAGTAGAAGGTAACAAAGTTTATTTAGCTATGTATGGCACGAAAATAGAAGGTATTAAAAGAAAGATACATTTAAAAAAATATTTTAAATTTATTGTAATTGATAGTTAAATAATGCATCTTGACTTGCAAAAGTGTGCAACTTCTCTTCAAGAGTATTCAAAGATCAAAAGACTAGATACTATTTGATTGGAAAAACGACTTTTGTTGTAAACTGACAGTCAAAATTTAATTGACATTAAAGAGCAGCTTTTTACTTAAATCACACATATTTGTTGATTTCAGTAAATATTCAGTTAATCATCACTGGATTTGAATGGGATTAAAAATCAAAAAGTAAAATGAAAATGAAATGTATCTCAGGTCTACTTTTTTTTTCTTTCTGTCTGTGATGGTTAGAGAGTTATTCAGGGAATTCCTAATAAGAGAGGAAATGAGAAACAGAAGTGTCCCTGTGAGTAAAACTGCATATCAAGTAGTTCAAGCCAATACTTCAACCTCCAGCAGCTCCAGCTGTATAAATAATAACCGGCTATTAGTCATAAGGACAGAATCAGCATGAGAAATTACAAGTTCATACCATGCCGTCCAAAAAGGAGTCATACTCCTTGAAATATTTCAGATTTTGCCATGTTACAACCACAGACTTGAATGAATATTATTGGATTTAATATGATAGAAATGCAGAGAGCAATGCATAACTGTGGAATGAAAAGGAACTATAGTCACCGATTTTTGTACTCCGTAAAACTCTTGAAATTTCATTGTACTTTTGTATTCAGCCATTTTAAAGTTCACCTATAAATAAAATCCAGCACCCACCGATTGCATTCAGAAATCACCTAATGAATAAATAGTCCACTTGTGTGTAGTTTCATCTTAGTATAACAGCAGATATTGTATCTATTAGAGGTAAACAACATCAGTGAGCATACAGTATCATGAAGACTGATAAATACAACAGATATTTAAGAGAAAGGGTTTTGGAAAAGTTTAAATCAGGGTTGGGTTATAAAACAATATCCAAATTTTACTCAGGGCAACGAAATACCACACTAAAATTCCTGAAAATTTTGTTGCTCTTGCCTTAAAAAATGCAGCTATTGCATGACACAAAGAGAAATAATTCAAAGGGCATGAATACTTCTGTAAGGCATGGTTGTTAATTATTTTAAATAATACTTACAGTTTTATGTACTCTTACTTGGCTAATTTACCATTCCTGTGTAATTGGCAGGTATTTCAACAATATGGCCTAAAAATAGAAAATACTTTGAATCTGCAATGCTGATGAGGTTCTATAAAAGAGGAGATGCAAGATCACCATTTGTTTGTTAATGTAGGTATTGCACCGCCTCAATAGCTTACACTTTGCAGGAGAAAACAAAACAATTGAGAAATAAAAAGAGTTGAGTGTGAGAGTGGGTTTCCTTGTTTACAACAATGAACAATTTTGGATTCAATAATGATTCACCGACACTTTTTTTTTTTTTTTTTAGGTAAACCTCAACAGTTATTTCAGCGTGGATGTCTGAGAATGAACTGACTGGGGAAAAAAACTGAATCTACATAAGGGAACATAGTAAGAACTTCAGGAGAGGTGAATTTTAAGGGATGGCAGAAGGTAAAATGGTTTGAAACCCTTGTGTAAGATAATGTGCATAATCCACTGCAAGGATGTTAAGTGCACTCATTTCACACTCCATTTCACACAATACCGCTTCAGGAAGAATCAATGTTTGTGATGACTCAGGAAACACACAACATACCTCATTTGCATCTTTTTTTGTTGATGTTTTCCCATCAATGTTAATCATTTTCATCATTTTGATGTTAATATGGAATAAATGACTTAATAGAAATACAATAAGAACTAAAACTATGGTTGTGTGGGAGGATCTGTCTGATCAGTGGAGGCCAAATAACAAACACTGCATTCATAATTGACATTAAGCTGCTAAATTATGTACCTGTTGCTTTTTCACATTTAGATCCTTATACAATAGGGAAACTAAAACAATAAGTGGAAATACTGTCTGATTATGTGAGATCTTGTTACGAGGAGAAAAAAAATCCATTAATCCAAGATAGAATGAATTTCCCTGAATATAAACTACTCATTATCATAAGGAATAAATAGGTTCTCAGTACATGTCCCTGTAAAGAATGTAACCATGCAAAATAATAAAAACAAATAGACAGGTTTAGAGAAAGAAATTCACTGGCATCTACCAGTCTAAAAAATAATTAGCCATTTCTAAGGCTTTAGGACGTCAGCAGACCGTACACATCAGCCATGTCCCCCACGTCGCCTGTCTTTACTGTATGGAACCACTTGGAAAACCTCCCTTGGTGAGCAGATGGCGTCTGCCAGGAGGAGGATGAAGCTGGAACCTGGGCTCCACGGTCTGTGCACACATTTTGCCCCACAAGCTTTCGTAAAAGGGGAACAACGCAGGTCTGTGGGGAATTTGACCACAGGTCTGTTTTGGGAAGCAGTGCACATGTTTGTTTGTTGTAGCCTGTCTGAAAGATCTGTGAAGCAGCTAGAGTAAAATCTTCGACTGCTTGGGAGTCTGTCTGAAAAGCAGGATCAAACGTCCCTATTTCTCCTAAAGAGATTTCAAACACTTTGATCATCATAGTTTCTGTGAAACGAATGCAACATGTTCATTATTTGACCTCTTTGCCAGCGGAGTGAAATGCAGAGAAGTCTGCATTTTGCAGGCTTGCTAATCCACAGTGTGCTGCCGAGTCCTCCTGTATTATTAAACAGAGAATGAGGCTGTGCTACAGTATCTCTTCATAGCTTCTTACATTCTAGCACATGACATATTAAAGATAACTTCGCATCAGGCAAAGCAGGGGCCTTATTTGCTGAGTCTGCACTTGCTAAACTAACTCAGAGGACAAGATAAGCAAAGCAAAGCTTGGCAAAGTAAATCTAAGACTGGTTGAAAAGCCTCCCTGCCAACTACACAATCTACACCCAAAATATTCCCTTCAATCTCTCTCTGGGGGAGATTTCTTTGCACGCTTTGTTGCTAAAGCCAGGTAGGCTATCAGTCACTGAAGAACACAGCAACAAGGAAAACCCAACGCAAGACAGAAAATCCACCTCACGGGACCTCAAAGCCTGGACGAGGCCAAATTAAAAGCCCTTTTCTGCTGAGTCTCACTTTTGAGATAATTATGCATTGATATGAAAAGCATTTCCCTCCTCGCCTGTAAGTTTTGAGGGAATGCATACAATGGCATATTTGGCTCATAGCACCACCCCGCCATGAATTGAACCTGTGAGAGCGCTACTGCACAAAGCTAATCTGTGGCACAGCAAAAAGGCCCCTGGGAGCACCTCAAAATGGAAACAAGTATTAAAACCAGGGTTTCCTTGTGTGTCAGACATTTACTCATGTTATAAACCCTGACCATGAACTCTAGCCCTTGGTTACATGCCTTTAGACCAGGGGTGGGCAACTCCAGGCCTCAAGGGCCGGTCACCTGCAACTTTTAGGTGTGTCTCTACTTCAACACACCTGAGTCAAATAATGAGGTCGTTAGCAGGACTCTGGAGAACCTGACTGCACTGAGGAGGTGATTCAGCTATTGGATTCAAGTGTGTTGGACCAGGGAGACATCTAAGAGTTGCAGGACACCGGCCCTCAAGGACCAGGATTGCCCACCCCTGCTTTAGACCAAGCATAGCGGGTGCAAATTCGGTAGAAGATACACCACTGTCAACAGAACAACCCATTAAAGTTAGCTCTGGTTTGCAGCTTCAGCACTGCCTTGTGTTAGGCGTGTATTAATAAGAGGTTGCACATCTGCACATCTCCAGTGATTGGCAACCCTTCACCACCTCCAACACACTCTCAGAGAATACCACCCAAGCACTATAGGGTGCCCCACCACCCACAACCCCGCTCCCCTCTCCTGCACTCGGCTTGATTCAACTTGTTCTTGAGGCTGACAGGGGGGACCCGAGGTGAGAGGTGGGGGATGAGATCAGATCAGATCTTGGGGGTGATGCTGAGAAAGCGGCGGTTTGCGCCCTTTCAGATTCAAACAGGATTGGTTCATGCACAAAGAGAAGATTCATCCACGGTTAATCAGGTCGTTCAGAACTGTAACTATAATTATATGAAGACCCTGGGGCTGCAGCAGTTTCTACGTTGAGTCATTCTTTTATCATATTTTGTGAGACTTCAGGCGCCTCTGCAGCGCAGCGAGGCACAGAGCTCCACGCATAACGCTGCGCCTTAGCACGCCAAAGAAAAAAAAAAAAAGGAAAAAAAAAATCAAGGCACTTACAGTTCAGGGCGTTGCACTGCTTTCAAACCCAATGCGCGGGTTTACTTTGCACAACTGATCTAAATCTGTTAGCTGCTAATCACTTAAAGACGCATTCAGATGTTTTAGGTGGTTCGCACATTGCCATGTAACCCAAACGACCAGAAATGCGCACATCAAACATCTGCTTTGACAGTTAGGTGATGTCACGATGCTTTCTAAACATTTGATTACAATAAATAATGTTTGTTGTTTGTTTGTATTTTTTTCTGTACTTACCCAGCTCTCCTGCCCACGGGGAATCTACATGGAGTGACCCATATCCAAGGAAAAAACGTTCTATTTTTCTGCTGGAATATTAGGAGAATAGAAGGTTTCCTGAAAAACTACGGTTGTGCTTTCAGTGAAAAAACACTGTAACTCAATAGTATCCAGCGGGAATCCAAACGCATTTCGAGGCTGCGTCGATCTCCGGAATTCATTGCGAGCGCTGTCCACGAAAAAGTGGTGCTGAAAACTCCTCAAGTCTCAACTTCAGGTTTTGTTCGAGTGAGGGGGGGAAAGGCAGGTCCGGTGGAGCCACTCGCCAACGCTTTTCCAGTGAAAAGGGCATCAGATTTTTTTCAACAGGATAAAAGAGGAGAGGAGCGCATATCCGACACCCGAGGGGAGAGCATACACTCTCCAACTGATAGACTGAAGACTGCGTGCGCTCCGTGCACTGGATGTGATTGATGTTAAATGCAACCTCAACCCACCGCCTTCATCAGGGGAGGAAACACAGCATCGATGAATGGGAGAAACGTTTGAATGACAAACTGCAGCATATCAACAGCACTTTGCCGACGTTTTAATCGGTAGCTGACATGCAAAAATATGAATTTTGACATTGACTTCAGCACCTCATGCCTTCTCCTCGAGCACTGCCGGACCTCACTGTGAGAGGTTGCATCTGTCCGTGTCTACGGATCAGTTGAAACCATGTGAACAATTTGTAAAAGTGTAGCTACGTGACATCCTGCGTGATCATATTGAAGCAAAATGCATCAAACTCATAATTAACACGCTGCATGGATAAACTCTAATGGATTCATTTTTAAGCTCCTAATGAAACAGGGCTGGTTTTATTGTTTCCACTATGTCGGTTGTGGCTCGTCACGCACGTTACAGGTGTTGCCGCAGCCTATGCAGTATGTCGAGTCTCAAAGCGGTTGGGATGCTGTGCGTAAACCATGACGAACACATCAAGTCCAATCACTGAGTGCGAAAACTCAATCTGGACACTATAGGTTCGTGTTTTGTAAGTCTGCGTGTGGGATGCCACACTCTACAGCCTGCTTGTGAAATTATGTCCGACCGCCTCTGTGTGTCCAATATTATTCTGGAAGAAAAAAAAAAAAAGATAAATTACTTTTTAATCAAGCGTGGCTAAAAAACTACTTAATGTCATTACCTGATTGTAGTTATGTTGTAGTTTGGTGTTAAAAAAAAAAAGACGTTCTTGCCATTTTTTCTTAAATATTGGCTTCTGTGCAGGACTGTTTCAAGCTTGCATGACGTTATTTGAGGGCCCACTTCCTGCAAAGCATTCCACCACGGTTCTTAAGAAAACTTAGGATATTTAGTCTTTTAAGTGGGACGAAATATTTTAATATCTGAAAATATTACTGTTTGTGTACCAAACATGATGTGTGATTACCTAGAGAAAATGTAGAGGGTAATCATGGGTAATCGTGGCTGTAAGGCTTACTTGAAGTTTTGTGGAAAATATAAAAATCTCCCGTCTCAAGAGAACTTATATTTCACACAGACACTGGAGTACTTCAAATAAAGTACAAAAAAGACCAGTGAGCTCCAGCTCCATTCTTCAGTGTTGAACCACTTCGTTAAGTATTGTTTTAGAATCCTGATTTGGGGGGAAGTTTAATGTTTTGTTCACAGAAAAATGGGGGCGGGGGGAGGCTATAGTAAAATTAAGTAATGCTAGATTTAATAGGGATGCATTATATATTGGCACCAACATTGGTATCAGCTGATATTAGATATTTTTTAACATATTGGTATCGGTCTGATAAATAAAACTGGGCTGATATGAACAACCAATATTTATTTTTATCTGTTTCTGATGGTTTTTCTCTGAAGGTGCCAAAACCACAGAAAAATATACATAATATCGGTAAATATCGATTATTGCTCATAACAGTAGTATTAATACTGAATATTGATTTCAGGCCAAACTTTGCATTGGTGCATCCCTAAGCTTTACATAGTACTTATAAATGCAGTTCTCATTGGTCAAAGTATTGAGCATCATATCTAGAACAAACAAGCAAGAACAAAAACTGAAAAACAAATAAGCAACAAGAAAAATTCAAACGAAAGTTGAAATCATACACCCACAAGCAGCATGTATACCAGGCACATGAAACAAATACAATCATTTAGTTAGAAATATGTGTAGGCTTGGAAGGCCAAACTAACAAGACAAAAATTTTAACACACAGACTTAAGGATCAGGACGAAAGGAGCACAATAGGTAGGAAAGAGTCTCACCAACATGAAGCAAAAACTGAAAAGACTTTGTCTCTTTTGTGCTTGAGACATGACTTAGTCACATGGAGGTCAAGTTTGTTGATTTGAACACTCTGATATAAAGTGTTAGAGATGTTTAAAAGGAGAGTAATACAAAATTATTCAATCAAGATGTTTTCCAAAGAGCTTGTTTGGACGATTAAAAGCACCTTTATAAAAAACAATTTTTAAGCAGGCGATAAACAACATTTAAATTAGATTAACATTTCTGCATTAAGGTTTTCTTCTACTAGCCTGATGTAATACTGTAATCATGTGTTTTCATTAGTTGTAAATGTGAAAACATAATTAATGGCAATAAAGGCTTGGAAACATCAGTTTGTGTGTAATTAATCTATAACATGTTTCACTTAATGAATTAAGTTACTGAAGTGAATGAACTTTTCAGTAATATTACAATTTAGTGAGTGTAACTGTATACAAAGGCCAAAAATACATCCATCCATTCAGTTCCCCATTTCCCTGCTTGTCCTTGCAGGGTTGTGAATTTTAAAGTAGACAGGGAGCCAATGCAGAGGACACGAGTGATGAGCTCATACAGAAGTCATAAAAGACTATTTATTGATTGTGAGATGCTAAAAAGGATTTAAGTTTTGTGATTATTCTTAGCTGATGGTTGCTATTTTTGGTGGAATGTTGATCTAAAGAGAGATCTGAATCTAAAATAACTTTCAAGTTTTCCACTTGATGCTTGAGCTCTGGAGTAATGGAATGAGATATGAGGTAACTTGTTGGCCAGGCTGCTAGCAGAATGATGTGGGCCAAAATGTAAAACCTCAGTTTTGTTGCTGTTTAGTTTAATGAGGTTGTTTTCAATCCGTTCTGCCGTTTCTGTCCCGATTGGCTCGTCTCCCTGGTGATAATTGAGCCGTTGCTTTCTCAGATTTGTGCAGCTGCTCCTTTTGCCTTCCTGATCACAGGCCTGAGTGTTGTGTGTAGCCTTTCACAGGTCTGAGTGGGTCACACCTGTGGAGTGCTGGACCCACTCCACCAGATCAAAAGAAAAGTGGAGGGAAATGCCTGTGTGTGTAGAAGTAAAGACTAGGGAGGTGGGGGTCCTTGTCTCTGAGGACCCTCGAGGCAGCTGAGCCTCTGAATATTCATCAGCACCTCTGCTGGAGCAAATTCCAGCCAAACGTTTGAGCTGACTATACACTCTGCCGAGCTATTGTGTTGCCGTACAAGTCATGCAAAAGAATGACAGAGCTAGCTTGTGTACATTATTGAACAGCGTGCTCTACATCATTTTACTACTTGTCAAAACATTTGATTACCTCCATCTGTCAGCCCCTCAAACCAGCGTTCTGTTTCTGTTCAGCATGGTTAGCACAAATGATTTATTCAGCTGTGGCGAATAAATGTAAAAGTTATTTCTTCCAGGAGGCCCATCGTTGCTTCACGTTGCTTCCTGCTAGCAGAGCTGTTGTTTTGTTTAACGTGTCTGCTGAGAGGATAACGTGTAATGCAGCCGAGTCCTCCCCATCCTTCTATGCAAGGCAAACTCTGGAGATTACTTGTTTCAATTAGCTATGGGGCGGAGAGAATTTAAGCCATGTTAATTCCAGTCACTAGTGAAAATCCAAGTCGAAAGGACCAGCCACTCAGGCATAATCGCCTGCCCCCAGATGTCTCCTTTTCCATGGAAACATTAAGGGAACAAATCGAAATGTAAATTCTAAGATTTGAAAAAAAATACTTTATTGATGTCTTTCAGGATAGAATGTAAGTTCTGCTGCAATTTGTATGATTGAGAGAAAACACTGTTTATGGGATTTTTGTCTTCAACTTAGCTTCTGGTATGAATACTCTTTTCAAACCGCTGAATTAAAATTTAAATACACATGTGAAGTCTCCTTTTCAGTTAGCAGAAGAAAAATGAATCTAATTGCCAGATTTTTGTGTAAAATATTTAAATAAGTCTCCAGTCCTTTAATATTGAGAATCTAAAAGCTTCAAATGTTTGATTCAACAGCATCAAGACACTGAGAGTCTAGCCAAAACGTGGGAGGACGCTCAAATGAGTCACTTTTCCACCGTTATTTGAAGCAATATGTTACAACAATGGAGCATGGCAGCCGGGTCATGCAGTCTGAAAAAGTGCGCTCCACGTGTGAGGGATATATTTTGTTCAGATAGTCGCTGGCAGTTGTCGCAGGTGTAGCCTTTTGACCCTTGCAGCTTACAATGAGTTTTTCTAAAGGCACAGAAAGAAAACAATCTATTTGATGTGAACCTCCAAACTCACATATATCCAGTCCCTTCTGTGATGTTACATCATTAAGATATCAACCAAGAAATTAATAAAGGAGATGAAGTTGTCGCTAGGAAATTTAGGTTTTATGAGACCAAAGACAGTTTAATTATCCTCATAAATATTTCGCAATAATTATTAAATTATAAATCTCTAGTTCTTGGAATATATAAATGATTTTTATCTAATAAAAAAAAACATCACAACTCTATAGACAATGAAATTACAGATTTACCATTGTAGCTTCTTTTGCTAAAGTTTGTGGCTGTGTTTTATGGTGCACATAATTGTTTTACTCTTGCATTGTCAGACCAGTCTTCAGGAATTAGAAGTGAGTGACAGTGTGGGATTTCTGTAACCAGAATAAGAGCAGCCCCTGGTGGTTAACACATTTATCAACGTCCAAAACATTGAAAGTGTCTGAAATTCTCACTCAAACACAGTGTTATCCAAAAGTGTTAATACCACTGAACTTTTCTGATTCTGTTATGGTATAGGCACAAACTTCAAAGCATTTTATTGTGACCATTTGTGACAAACCAACACAAACTGATGGGTTTTGAAGTGGAAAGAAAGTTATTTGTGGTTTTCAAATTATTTAGCAAATAACAGATATCAGAAAATTTCAAACCACAAATTTCATTGTATTGCATTATGACTTTATGTGATTGATGAACATATATCTATGTGCATTATTATAAAGTGGAAGAAGGATTTATTTAAAAAATAAAATCTGAAACGTGTGGTGTGCATCTGTTTTCGGATCATTTTATAAAATAAAATACTGCTCAGCTGAATTCAAAACCAAAATGTTTGAACTATACTACAAAATCCAGGTACATGGCATAAAGCATGCTCTGCACATCCTATCTCCAGTATTGAATGGAGATGTGGCAGCATCATGCTGTGGGGACTCTTCTCTTACGCGAGAAAATGAAAGCTGGTTAGAGTTAAAGACAGGTGGAGAAAAACAAGGCACAGTCCAGGGAGAAAAAAAAAACTCCAAAAGACTTGAGTTTTGGTGGTAAATTTTCCACCAAACTAACAACCATAAACAACTACCTAGCCCTCCAATGGATCGGTTCATCACCCGGGTAGTATACAGTACATCTCCTCACCATACCAATGGTCTTAAGAGGCCTGCTAATCAGCCATGATTTGATTCAGGTGTGTCAAAAAAAATCAAATATGCAGGATTCTGACTTTTGGGTCAGTATCTTGACCTTTGAGTATATAATGCATATAATGTATATAATGCAGAAGCATTATATACACATATTTACTAAGTAAATTTAACTTTTGACACAGTTTTTTGTAGACAGTGATTGTAACAATGGATTTAACTTTCTTTTTTTTTCAGAACATTTAGAAAAGGCAGGTTTGCACAAGATCTTGAATAATAAAGATTCAAATGAAGACTGTGTGCACAGGAAGCAATGCCACATTAGGTCGAAAAAAGAAAGAACAAATTAAACATGGTAACTTCTCTTATCTTTGAAGCCAAGCACAGTCTGTTCTGGCCTTG